TTTTGATAGCAGGCATCACTAGTAACAGTTTCACTTCAGTGATGCCACTTGAATATACATGACATTTATTCATTTTGGATGAAATATTTACCTACTCTTCTATTACTTCTAAGACTGTGAGGTGGAATGCATTATCCCTTTTTGTGTGTTATGCTGAGTTATGTTATAATTTTAGTTACTACTGTAAGTTCTTGGCAGAGAACGGCAGAAGTAGCGAATAAATACTTGTGTATCTAAATAATTCCTTTCTGGCCTTAATAAAAATGATGAACATGAGAGTTGCGGTAAGGCAGCTGAATGGAATGAGAATAGGACAGTGGAACTTGCAGTCAGCTCACCATTGTCTACGATGATAGTGGCAACTGGGATGTCTCAGGCAATGGGAAACATGGTTAATAATATGGGAAACATATTAGACAGGCACTCCAGCATTCTGAGATGGTGGTTATTCCTGCTTCTTCCAGGTTATTCCTCTGGGTTATTGGGCTCAGATTATTGATCTGTTTCTAACTATGCAATGAAGAGGGAACAGGAATCTGACTGGGTTCAGTGCAGAGCCACCAGAAGCTGAGTTAGCAGCATGTGAACCCAGCTGTACCACTCCCAAGACCTGTTAAAGCCATGAAGCAGCACTGCTGCTTTGGCATGACTGGCACCAGAGCTAGCAGATCTTTCCAGGCCTGACCTTGGGTGTCACTGTTCTGTGTTTGCAGAACTGGGAGTGTTAAGGAGCAGGTTGAGAGACATGTCAGTACCTTGCAGGACCAAACTCAGCCCTGAAACAGTGCTGTGCTGATGCTGTTACCTCTGTTAAACCCAAGCTGATTCTAGCAGAGTTACTGGATTGTCTCAGCACTGCACACAGCTCCTAATGGGCCACAGCTAGCCAGCTCTGAGCTGGCTGGACAGGACTGCATGGAGAACTAGCCAGCCCACCTCCATGCCCCAACAGGGAAAAAATACTGAGATGGCACAAAGGTGATATAGAAGTTGGAAATTTTGGCTTCCTTACTGTGCTATTGCACTGAATTTGTAGTGTATTGATTCTGAGCAGACTAATTGTAGGATTCAAGAGGCATTTTCCTCCCCTCTTCATATATATGAGTTGGATGTGCAGGGCATCTAAAACTGGCCATAGCCAGAGGTAGTATACAGGGAACAGTTCTGCTACTGGTACTGAAAGTCACTTAGGTTCCTGGCTGGTTCATCTTGTCCACAAAGTCAGGACTAAACAGATTGCCAGATTTGGACTCATTTTGATCCAGAGCAGTTTGGCTGAGAGCTATGCAGCTATAACACTAGCAATGGCCTTAAACTTTTCTGTCCCCTTCTTATAGCTTTTGGTCTTTTACAGTACAAACCTTAAATTTATTAAGGTACTGTGAAACATTTTGTGCTTATGAAAGGGGAGAGCAGGTATCCTAAAGCGGATCTCACAGTGAAATGTGTGTGCTTGTGTGAAAGGGATGGGTTTCAATGGTACAGTCACTTCGGCCATGAAATTTTTGGTTGCTTTTCTGTATTTTAAAGTTATAGCTGTTCTTCAGAAGGTTTCAAACTGTGTGGAGTAGTGCTAATTCCTGTTGGCTGTATTTCCAAGATGCCTAATGAGAAAATTCAAGAAGGCTGTAGTTATTGCCAGGTTGTCTCCTGGCACATCTTTCCTTCCACCTGTTTGGAACTTCTCTCACAGAAAACTGCACATACTGGATCAGTTTCAATGAACAGAAATTGTTAATTTCCTTAGCTCCTTAGTAAAGCCCGTTCATTTTGAAACCATTACTGGAATATAATTTCTCGAATAACACAAATGCTGTATCTTATCCTGGTCAACAGTAAAAAAAACCCCAAGACCCAAATCCTTTTCAAACCAAAGTGTAATATGCAACCCCATGAACAAAATGCTGCGATCAAATTGTAGCATTCCAGTTTTACTTTGGCAAATAAATAATACAGTCATAATCTGAGAGCATCAAGAATATGTAGCTCTCCATTTTTTTGAAATGTGTAGAATGAAATTGCTCAGGAAAGCATCTTCTGCCACAGTTGTTAATGCTTTTTCTTTTCGTACTTACTGAGGAACCTCTTGTTTGCTGCAGCTGTGTCATAACTGAATAACATTAATATTTTAATTGGACTTTTTAGGGTTGTGCAGTGTTAAGGTTTCATTTACTCTCAAGTCAGCTTGGATTTTATGAGGCTATGGCTTTCCTTAAAGAATTTCCCTAGGTGCTTCACCTACGTTATCTAAAGACATTAAGCATATCATTTAGTTGCTTGAAAGTTTAACCGGCATTTTGCTGTTTAAATGCTTAGTAGGATTAAAGACACTGTCATATCAAAAGAGTGAGTTTTCCCTTCGTCTACATTTTCCACCTCCTACTCTCTCCCCTTCCTCCATGGTTGCCTAAATTGCTTCTCAATTTAATTCAGAGTGAAATGACTTTCAGTCTCTGAACAAAAAATAAATTCAAACAGTAAAGCCGATTTAAAAGATTTCAATTGAAAAATGACCTTGTCGACTCTTTCCCTCTGGAATTTCTCGGCAAAAAGTGTCTGCGGTTGACTTCCCTTGGTCGCGTCAGCGCAAAACACCTCTGGAAACAGTTTCCCCAAGAGCCCTTCGTGGACTCCGAAGAACCGCATTCCCCGTGGCTTTGAAACGCTAATTTCAGGCTAATCTAATTAGGCTAATGACTAGCACACCACCATGCAAGAAAGCTGGGACAATCTCCTTGAGGTTTTCCTGCCTCTCAGACTTGCACTTTCTTCATTGCATGAGGCTGGCTCAAAACAGCAAGAAGCACAAACTTTGATTTCACTGAAGGGAAAGGGTCTTTAAATAGGCAGCTGCTTAGAAAGCAAACCGCGCCGTGCGTTTGAGGAGACATTAAAGGAAAATAGGCTTTGGTAGTGAAGGAGCAAAGCATACTTAAATATCGATTACGTTTTGTTTTGTCTGTGTAAGTCTCCATTCAATGGGGCACAGAGCATGTAAATTTTAGTACGATCGGCTAGCACAAGGGGCATGCAGGGGTGCAGCTCTGCTCCGCTTATCCAGCACATCTCTGCGCCTTGATCGCTTATAGTAAAGATCGCAAGCCTAGAGGCAGAGAAATGTAGCCTGGTCCCCTCGTAAAGAGGAACTGGCCGAAATCTGTCCAAATGTTGTGACGTTGTGAAATCAGTCTTATTGTTAAGTGCTGACTGAAAGAAGATAAGGAAACCTGGGCGTGTGCAAGCCAGGCTCTGTGATTCTCATCTCAAGTTTGATTAAGTTAGAATCTGGCAAATCTTCCCGTTAAGGAATTAGTTATTTGGCTGTCTGCGTTTTCTGAGCTTGCATGGCACAATTACAAAGCAGAGTGAAAGATCTCACATCGTTAAGAACACTGAGCCGCAAGACAGTAGAAAGCCTGCCACAGATGTCATGTCAGAGGACTTTCTTTTACCTTTAACGGACAGCTAGAGTTAAGCCTGTCAATAACACCACTTTTTTGTTTTCTTTAAATGACAGATGTTTCCCAGGTTTGTGATTGTGTGTTCTATTTACTGGGTATTAACTGATTTGCTTATGATGTGTCAATCTGACACTCTTTTTTATTCAAGATTGTTCCCAGAGATACTTTTCTCATTTCACTTTCAGACTCAGCCTTTCCCCCTCCTATCGGGAGGAACTATAACGCATCTTCTTTCTTTTTTCTTTTTTTTTTTTTTCCTCCTTCTTGTTGTTGTTGTTGCTGTTGTTGTTGTCTTGAGACGACAGTGATTTCGGTAGTGTGTTGCACTGTAATTCCCGTCTCGGGCGGGCCGGGTGGCAATGCTGTTTTTCTGCGGGGAACTGGATGGTGGGGAGCCGCGCACTGGCGCGGAGCCCCCGACGGCAGCGATCGCCCTCCCCGCCGCAGTACGCTGGGGCGAGGGTATGAATCATCGCAAACGGGACTTTCATCGCTACAGCACTCGTAAGCCACTGAGCGGGAGCCCTGCCCGGCACCGGGCTGTACAGCAATCCCTCCCGAGACACCCATGCGACACTGCTTCCCAATGATCCCTCTCTCCCTGCACCCGCGGTGGCATGGCTGGTGCTGCTCCCTGGGCAACCCCTGCAGCACCGTGCCCGCTGAGGCCGGAGCGGCGGTCGGGCAGGGGGCGAGGGTGCAGAGCAGCTGAAAGTCCCGC